TACCCCCCCCCCTCAGCCTGTCCCCTGCCCTCCTGCCCCCGTTCTCTCTCCCCTGCCCCTCCTTTGCGGAAATCTGCCCCCCTGGCACCCTGCCCACCCTGCAGAAACCAGTTCCCTCCGGCAGCCTGCTCCCCTCTGCAGAAACCTGTCCCCCCGCAGCACCCTGTCCCCTGCTGCAGAAACCTGTCCCTCACTGGCACCTTGTCCCCTGTCCCCTGCCTCCACTGGCACCCTGTTCCCTGCCCCCAGAACCTACTAGCACCCCTCCCCAGTACTGTGTCCCCTGCTTCCGAATGAGTTTTCTATGTGTCAGTGACACCTGACTCAAGGCAGGTTCCCTGTCATTCTCATAAAGACAATGCAGAAACTTTTTGTGTTTGACATAGTATTTTATTTAAAAATGAAGCCTGGCCAACAAACCCCCAATTGGGGCCGAGTCCCCATCTGGGCACAACCACTCCTGCATTCCCCCTTCCCCAGACCCTAGAGCTGAGCCTTCCAGTGAACCCCCTGCCCTGAGCCCCTCACATACTCCAACCCAAATTCCTGCCCCCTTGCATCCACAAGCCTGGGGCTTGCTTAGTACCCCAACACTGCCCCCCCCCCGAGCCAGTGTCCCCTTCTCCACCTCCTCCTGCATCCAGATTTCCTCCTAGAGCTTGCACCTCCATCCCTTCCCACACCCAAATCCCTCATTCCCCCCCCAGAGACTCAACCCAGCGAGGGTCCGGCTAGACTGCAGGAGTTTTTCAGGATTCTGGAGATATCCCAGAAAAACTCTTCTTCATCCAGGGTTGCGTTTGTTCTTCCACTTTTTTAGCGGAAGAGCAAACATGCTCTTTCGGTCACCCCTATATTCCTCTTTCCACAAGGAATAAGGGGGCTTCCAAAAGAAGGGTTTTTTTCTGACATTTGGTCCAGTTTAGACAGGCCAAATGTTGGAAAAACCTCTTCCTACATAAGAATTTTTTTTAAAAAAGCAGCAGTATAAGAATTGGGGATAGCAAGTGATGGAGAGGAGGAGAATAGAGAGGGCGGGACTTCAAGGAAGGGGCAAGGTGGTAGATCTTGGCTTGGTCTGTCATTTAAAAAGTGATCTTGGGTGTAAAAAGGTGTGCTAGACTGTTGCACGGGGAAAGAGCCAGGATCTTTGGTAGCCAGCTCCTAAATAGGAATGTAAAATCCGGTTTAAATGGTCAACCGCTCAAACATTACGTTTAACTGGGTCATGGGTAGGGATATAATAGTGTAGTTGATTAACCAATTAACCTATAAGCAAAAGCTTATAGGTTAATGCTATAGACTACATGCATTTCTCTCCCTCTTCACCCCTCCCCTCCCACCTTTGCCAGTAAATTTTTTTTAGCAGACTGGCCAGCAGCCCATCTCAGTCCTGGCTTGTGACCGGTCTGGGACCTACCCCTGCTGTGACTCTGTATTTAAAGTGAATTAGGAGCCGAGTGGCTAGGCAGCCCAGCTCAGCTTTGGCTTATACTGGGTCTGGGAGCTCAGACTCCTCCCCTCCCAAGATGGGCTGCTGCCACCCCATGCTACTGCTTTTTTATCAGAGGCAGCAACACAGGGCGACAGGCAGCCGGTCTGCGAGGGGAGGAAGTATTTAAACTGGCTGCTCTCATGGACCAGCTCCTGCCAGGCACCCTGCACTGCTGCCTCTAATATAGAGGCAGCAACAAGGAAAGGCAGCGGGCTCCTCAGAGTGGGGCCATAGCACACTAGCTGCTGGACCCACCCCTGGGGACCATACACTAGTCATAGGCATGTGCATGGGGTATGCAGTGTGTGCCCAGGCACACCCTAATGTCTCGGGCCGGCTAGCCCAAGCCATTTTTGCGCCCTGGGCCCCACCCGGCCCGGCAGCACCGCATGGCCCAGCAGCACAACACGGCACCCGGGAACACCCCCGCCCAGCATGGCAGCACAGTGCGGTGCCCTTGAGGCACCTGGAAGCAGCCCCGCCCGGCCTGGCAGCACCATACAGTGCCCCGGGGGTGCCCCTCCCTGGCCATGCGGCTTGGGATGGCTCTGACTCCAGCACTGCAAGCTGTAAGGCAGAAGCTGAAGGTAAGGGGCGGGAGGAGTATAAGAGGAAGGAGTGGGAGAGGAAGGGGTTTTGCAGTGGGGTAGAGTGGAGGAAGAAGAAAGGGGAAGGAGTGGAAGGGGCTTGTACTGAGGGGGAGCAGAGAGGGGGAAGAAAGGGGAAGGCACCAAAGGGGCAAGGTAGAGGAGACACAAATGCTAGGGGGGAAGTGGAGACAATGAGGAAAAGGGCAGGAGGGGAGGTGTCAGTGGGAGGGGGACAGGGTGATGCTGGAAGAGGAGAGGGTAAGGGCATTGGGGATTGGAGGGGGAGGTGCTGGGAGAAGGCTAGAAAGAAGGGGTGGGCATGAGGAAGGTGGGGTGGAGCAAGTCATGTGTGAGGGCACAGGGGCATGAGGAGAACGGGAGCAGAGGGAGGTGAGGGGATGGGCATCAGGGAAAAAAGGGCAAAGGAGGCAGGGCAGTGAGGGAAGGGGGAGGCACCAGGAGGGTGCAGGGCTAAGGGAAGGTGCAGGTGTCAGTGGATTCTGGGGGTGAAGCAGAAGGGCAGACACCTGCAGGGGAGGAACCAGCACCAGAGGAGAGAGGCAGGGCAGGTGTGTAGAGGGAGGTGTTAGACGAGGGGATGAGGAGGGGTAGCTCACATGATCAGAGTGGGGCTACTGGAGGAGTGGGCACAGGGGGGAGAGAAGGGCTGGTAGAGGGGGGCAGGTCTCAAGAAGGCTGAGGGCAGTGAGAAGGGCAGGACTCAGGACAGCAGAGGTGGGTGAGGGGTTGCGGGGGAAGGGGGCAGCAGGCACCAGGAGAGGTGATGGAGCAAGGGGAGGAGATATGGCAGCAGTCTCTGTTACCCCTTACTAAAACTCTGTGGGAGTTTTTTGGTTTGCCAGCTCCCACTTTCAGAGGGGGAAGGGTTCAGGAGGCTGACCCCCAGCCTCTCCACTCCAATTAATGTCACACACATTGGATTAATGCAATTGCAGGATAGTTCCATGGGGGGGGGGGCGATTGGTGGTGGCCAAACTAATCCCTATTGGTAGGAGGATGGTGGGAAAAGTCCTTGGGTCAGGGGTCACATAACACTTTTTACTTTTGGTCATGTGCCCATCTTGCCCAGAGAGGGTTAACCTTCCAGGGGCGTGGCTAATGGGGGCCAGGGGCGTGGTTAACAGGGGTCAGAGGGTGTGGCTAATGGAGGGAGGGGTCAAAGTGCATTTTAAAAAAATTCTCTGGGTGCACACGCTTATGAAATGTGCTGTGCACGCTTATGACACTAGTCAACTAACCAGTAAGAATTCATGAGATTACTTGACTATCAATTAACTGTTTTTTAACATCCCTAGTCACAGGTGGGGGACATCATATCCCGAATTCCTACAGGCCAATCCCGTATCTCCGAGCTCTGAATTAGCTGGGTGTAGGGACCCCAGCTGTGAAATGTGACACTGGTGCAGGAGCTGTGGGACGGGGCAGGTGAGTGTGCAAAGACCAGGCTCGGCGACACTGTTCATCTGTATCACTCCCCTCGGCTGGGCAGCTGCTGCCGCGTCTCCTGCATGAAGCCGAGGCGCGGGGGCCCGCCCGGGGCGCGCGGGCTGGGGGGAGCGCGCGGCGCG